AGGGGTGCCCGGGCCTCTCTCCTCCCTGAAAAGGGCGCAGCTCTGGCTGCTCGGGGGGAAGTCGGTCTGCTTTCGCCCGAGCCGCGGGGCGGGCGGTCGTACCGCACCTGGGTGGGCCTGCCAGAGCAGCTTCCACCGCGTTCCCTTTCCTGAAAAAGATTCTTCGCTAGCGCCATGGCTGTTCGCAGCCCTGGGGGATCCAAACCGCGCTCGGCACGGGGACCGAGAGCTTTCTTACCCAAATCCCCGTCGCTACCTTTTCTGGTCGCGCGTGATCCACGCGCAGAGAGCAAAGGGAGGATAAATGGAGCCTGTAGCCTGCCTTACTGATGAGATAGGCGTAAATGGCTTTGTCATGCAAATGTGGCTCTAAAGCACTTTCATATAAAGCCAGCTTAATGCTGAAGAGCCGGTGAAACCCGCTTGTCCGTTAGTGCCTGCCCTGTCCTTGAAGCAATGGAAATGAAGACGTTGGTACAGATGTTTGCTCCCTGCCTCCATAGCGAATTGGTATGACCTTACGGCACAGAAAGAAGTCTTCCTCCCCCGAAGGTCTCTCTCTTCCATGAAACTAATTTAATTTCCTGCCAACCCTCCCCTGCTGCCCTCAGAATATATCCCTAGTGCCTCTCTGTTCCAGTCCTAACTACCCACAGTAATTACCTGCATAGTCTGTGTTTCTGCTGTGTCGGAAAACATTTTCTTTTTAGCATGTCGTCCGTGCTTGGTATTAACTTTCAACAAGAGCCAGCAGAGTGTGCTGTAAACGCTGCGAAAAGAACATCCTGCTTCTGGGAAATTTTTTTTTTTTATATATACATATATTTAAACGCAGATGAAGACATTTTAAGTGGTTCAAATATTTGCATGAGTGGTAGGTAGTTCCTCCCGTCAACTAAAATACTTCTCTTGTCACAGATCACAGAACCTCTTCCTTAAAACTTAATAACCAAGTCATACTAAACTGTCCACTTTCAGCAAGATTGCTTTTCAGTGTTTGTATAAAGCTGGAAAAGTGCCACAATGAACATGTCCAAATGCCTTGCACAGTCAAAGAGAAGAGTCTATAACACAAGGTATTTAATAGATTAAAATATAAATTGTAATCCTGGCCTACAGGAAGCAGCTTATGGAATGGTACCATGTGAGCGTACATTTCTCCAACCTCATTACTCTCTCCTTTGGACTGACTGATGGCGGACTTCCAAAGAGATGAATAAATATATTACAAGTAAGTAAAATAAAAGTGGTTTGAAGCAAAGTGTTTACTAGATGACTTGGAAATGGAATTGTTTGCTTGAAAAGCAAGCGCACGTATGCTTGGATTTCTTATTTATTCTGATGTCACTCTTTTCTCCCTTGTTCTGTAGGAGTAGAAATTTAGGAAAGAGTGAACTTTTGAGTTGTGCTTGGGGGTTAACAAATAGTTCTGTATCATTCACAAACCAAAACTGCGTTAAAGTAAGTCAAGTTTGGGACCCTGTGTAAGGGTTTTAAGGGCAGAAGGACATTGTTGTTATGCAACCAAACGGGAATTAGGATTAAAAGGAAATCAGAAGATATAAACAAAAGCAAATTCAGAGGCAAGGCACTTGGACAAAATTGGCTGTGGGCCACAACTATCCATGCAATGCAGCTAGTGCTTTATTAAGTGAAACTGTTTTAGAAACATACACTAGAGTTTTTTTCTTTTTCTCAGGGTCAATCTGACCGGACAATCACAGCAGAATCCCCAGCTCTGCTTCCGACCAGAATGAATCAAATACACTGCTCCTAATTTTCATGGTCATGAGAAGGTAATAAAACTAATAGTTATGCATTAGCAAGGGGTTACAAACTATCTCTTATGCACTCCTCCGGTCATGCGATAATACTCATGTTTAATATTAAACACACATGGCTTAATGGGTGCACATTAGTTAATAATCATAATGGTATCTGTGTTTTAGAGAGTTCTTCAGGGGCTGTATGCCAAGTAATACTTGGTATTACTGCTGGTAGCCATGTTTTAAAAAGTAGCTGTCATTAATTGGCAAGTGTAGACATGCATTACTTCATAGCTACAGAGAACAGCATCAGTGAGTAGTTGAGTGCAGGGAGGCAGCTAAGCAGTGCTTGTCAACTCATCACTCCCTTGGAGAAAAGGGTGAGCAGCAAGATGAGAATGTTTGCCGACTATACAAAACTTTTTTAAGTTAGCAGGGGTGAGGGTCATCTGTAAAGAATTGTGGGTGACTAGTCAGTAGAAAGTCAGATTAAATACAGGGTAGATAAATGCAAGATGATGCATGTGTGGA